TAGCCATCAGGCTATTAAGCTCTACCAAAGTTGTCGAAAGTTTGAAGCATGACATTGTATAGGTAGGAACTGCTTGCACAACTACCATGATTAAAATTTCGTGCCTACTCTTGACAACATTTTTTCCTGCCATCATTGCACATTATTCCAGACCCGCTCTCTAAGGGAAGAAAAAATTGCTCATTTAGTTTTCCCTACAACCAAAGGGAGTCCCGAATATTTATCATGGCTATCAATCACTGCATACTATAGTGTACTTCTAACTTCTTCCATCACAGACGAGAGCTCATTCTTGCTAAATACCATTCATAAGTTTGGAGACACTATTTATAGCTTGGTTATCATCCTTCCTAGCTCTGGCAAATAGGACACTGTCATCTGCAAAAAATAAGTGGGTGAATGATAGCTTGCCTTTTCCAGTTGACATCCATGGATTCTGCCCCTTCATTCATCTGCTTGCAATAGTGTTATGAGACCCTTAAAGCATAACAAAAAAAGTTATGGGGACAATGGATCACCTTATCGTGGCCCTTGTTGTGGTCCCCATTTGTTCTCCATTAATAATAAGGGTGTAAGAAACTGTTTGAATACATCTCATTATCATGATTAACAATCTTCCAACAAAGCCCAATTGAGACATTGCCTCCAAAAAACCTCAATTCACTATATCATACACCTTACTCTTGTGTAGTTTTAGGGACATGTATGCACCCCTTTCCTTTTTTGCTTCAAATGGTGGTTTAGCTCATAAGCAATAAGAACATGTCTATTATCTATCAACCCATTAAAAATGTACTTTGATAGTCTGAGATAATTATCAGTAGAATTTTCTTTAGTCTATTGGTGAGGACTTTTGTTATTATTATGTACACCACATTGCATAGGCTAATTAGCCAGAGTTCAGGCATGCTATCTGGATTATGAACCTTTGGCACTAGGATAATATGTATGTAATAGAGTCTGGCATAAGAGTTATTTGAATTTAAAAAATTCACAACTACACTTATTATATCATTACCCACAATAGACCAAGACTTCTGGTAAAACACTACTCCTTACCTGTCCCGTCTCAGGGTTTTGGTACGATGGATCTAGTTAATTGCTTTAGTAACTTCAACTGGTAAAAATTAGTTGAGAAACCTTTGATTCATTTCAGCCGAAATCCTTGGTTCTATCTATTGGAGAACTTGATCAATTTGTTCTTGTGAGGGGTTTAAATAGATCCTCAAAATATTTAAGTACAATCTATTATATCTCTCCTTTGGTTGTGCACCATCTTCCTTCTTCATCTAACAACCATTAAATAGTGTTTCTTTATTTTCTAAGACTTGCCTGCGCATGGAAAAATTTCATATTTTTGTCCCCATCCTTGAGCCGAAAAGATTTTGAATGTTGATACCACATTGTTTCCTCACCCTCTAGTAGATTATTAATCTACTTTTGGATTTCCTTTAGCTGATCTCTTATTTCTTTCATTATCACACCTAATTGCAAAATCTCAATTTTGTCTTTATTTTCTTGAAGCCAGCTATTAATATTAACAAATTTCTAATTTTTCCATTTCAAAACTCCCACCCTACATATGTGCCTTCACATTGTTTAGGAAGTGTTGCTTAGATGAACTAGGAATATACTCTGCCACTATTGTCAGATAACATATCTACATATAGTATCTGTAAGCCATATTGCCTCAAAATGGAATCTTCCCTTACTTACCCTATCTTCCCCTAAACTTTCTGAGGCCAGAACTTTGAATAGTAGTTGACAATGGTCGGATTCCATTGTAGGCAGGTAATTAACATAGCTGTTGGGGAACATGGAAAGCTAAGAGGAAGATGCCCATAATCTGTCCAACCTCACCTTAATTGAATAAGGATAGGGACTATCATTCCACCTTGTGAATGGTGAACCATTAAATCCCATATCCCTTCGATAACTTTCGTCAACCACTTTAAGGAAATCTCCAATATGCCAATTTAGTCTATCTGCCCTCCCCCACTTTTCTTGATTAGATAATATCTCATTGAAATCTCCCCTACATACCCAAGGAAGATTTGATCTTTGTTGCAATCTCTTTAATAGCCTCCATTAGCTTTTCCTTTGACTAACAACTAGGTGTCCATAAAAGCCTACAAATCTCCAAGTGTTTCTTGAACCTTCATCAATTACAACTTCAATATGAAAATCTCATAAGCTCTTAACACTTACCTATAAACCCCGTTTCCACAACAACATAAGGCCTCATCCTCCACCTCTCGAATCATCAATTAAGTCTTAAGTGAGGCTGATTTGACTCTTTATTCTTTCAAATTCTTCTGTAATTAACCTAGTTTCCTTTAAGAAAATTAGGTTGGGTCCTTTTGCTTCACTAGGTCATGAAGCACTCGAACTGTCCAGAGGTTTCCAAGCACCTGAAAATTCCAACATACTTCTATCATTGTTTGTGGCAAGACTAATCAACAATTTCCTCACATCACTGCTTCCCTCTAGCCTCTACCTCCTGGATATCCCAATTTGTAGTTAACAGTGAGCTCTATGCTTACGACTCCATTTCCCTATTCCCTAGTCTAGTCAAATGTTTGCCCTAATTTTTGGATGGATCAACTCAACATAAGGAGATATTTTATCATTGGTTAAAAGGGAAACTTTTTTATTCATAGTAGCCTTAGGGTCTTTAAGCTTTGGACATTTGGGCCATTAGGCTGACTAGCTCTAACATGATAGTGGAAGGGGATTTCAAAACTCATGTCCACCTCATGAAGGTTGTCATTTGGAAGATCAATATCTTGGTTTGTGCCCTTTTATTTTGATTCCTTTCAACATCACTATCCCACATTTCCTTATTTAATTCAATAGTCTAAATAGTCTAATCTTGTGTAGTTAGGGATACTATCTCATCTTCAATCATTATGCCTTTCTTTTGCCTAAGGCTATAGGAAAATCTCTTCAGTTACTCTCCAATATCTTGATGCTAATATCTCATACTCAATTACTTGAAGTTGCCTACAATCTCGCTCTAGTTGCACCACCAGAGCGAGCACCATCGGCAGACTCTCAATGAGGTCTAGTGCTTTTTGAAATTGAACCACCATTCTAGACATCCATTCTCATGACAAAGCAGTGCTTTTCAATATGCCCTAAACTTCCACAGTAAAAAAACGGGTATTGGAATTTAGCAAGACTGATATCACTATTTCTATCGTGAAGCTTTGTACCTTGATGAAGTGGTATCAGTATGTTGACATTGATTGTAATTTTCACAAATCTGCTTCCTCCCCTATCATTTCTCGAATCTCCACCACCTCTCGGTCCATAAAACTTCTAGCAATCTTCAATGCCATCTCCTTTGTATAACATTTGGGGGAAAGACAATTCACTTGGACCCAGAAAAAAGTTGATTCAAATGGTAGAGAGTCTACTACAACCCCTTTGATTATCTTTTAAGAATTAGAAAATAATTATCAAACTCCATGGTCCTTGGTCCATTACTTTCCAAAATTCTTTTTCCTCTTGAAAGAAGAATTGGAAAATATTTGGATGTACCCTTGTAATTTTCAAATCTTTGTACCCCGAAATGTTAGCCATCTTATTCTTCAGTGCTATTGGGTTTAGGGTCTTATCCTACAGAATCTTTCCATAGAATTCTTTTCACATTACATTAGACCTTCTACAATATTGTTATTGTTGAAATTGAGTCATCTCTTCCTCTTTAGTGACTGAAAGGAAATAATCTTCTTAAGAAATCCATTCTCCATGCTTATTGAATTAGTCAAACAACTTGATTCAGCTGAGTCAAATAATGACAGTGGAATCAAATACACCAAGGGCATGTTTGTTTGGGGGATTGATTATAGGTGGTATCGAAAATGATATCCATTCTACTCCTAACCAATGGGATACTATATCTAGTCTTACACTTTTATCCCATCCTTCCCATTGTTTATTTCTTACAAAAATTATTTGTGTGATATCTACCAAAAACGGTGTGTTAGATGAACTATTCAATATAAAAAGACAAGTGTAACCTTATAATCCAAAGCAATCCATGTTGTTGTTTGTTAGTACAACCACCTGTGCATGAATAAACCAAAAACTTGTTTTTATTTTTTTATGTTCCACATGTTTTGCATGCACTGTTGCAATTATCTCCCATATAATGAATAGTGCCCATTGCAACAACAATGATTGATTTATTTTTTGCAAGCATATGTCCATATGTCCAGCCTTATCACTACAACAAACTCACAACAAAATCCCCATTGGAATAATTCATCTAGATAACAGTTCAAGCACAACACACACAACACTATCATTTCCTTTACAAAAAAAAAATTGCATGCACAACACATCAAACATATATAACGTCAAATATAAGAAACCAGTGCAAACACATCAACTGCCACTCCGCAAGCAATACAGCTGGCTCCAAAAGCAAGTTTACACATCCACCATTAACTTGTTTACATACATGATATAAACACCAACATTCCCAAAAGATGAAACTCCCCAAACATAGCAACAACAACCAAGTTCGACGATGCCAGTTGTGATTTATAGCTACCACTACACGCATTCATACCCAAAAACCAAAAATGGCATATGGCAAGCATATACATACAACCATAATCTGACAGGGATCATGCTTAATCAGAAACATCGATAAACCTCTATGTCTTCTGCTGGATCACCACCCGAACAAGAGCCCACACTTTCAATCAGCTCTTTTGAGGACACATTGCTGAAAACCTCCATCATTTTCTTGAATAAAGGACATGGTCCAATGCACCAAATTCTAGCAAACTTGTTAGCCTACAAGTTAATCACTTTTAAACACATCAAGAATTCAAGCAAAGGTGAAAAAAAATAAAATAAAGAGACTAACTATGATATTTATTAATATAGTTTTGAATTAAACACTTACCACTAGGTAGTTTGCAGCTCCAGAGATCGGCCCATCAACGACGCACAAATCAGCTGAGTCGCAAGCAAACATCCTCGTCTTCAACATAGACTTGATAGGGAAGTACTACTTCTTCTAGAAAAAAATAATCTTCACAAGGTCAATTTGATCCATGCTAAATGCAGGCAGCCTACATTTCACCCGCCTTAACAGATCCCTCAAGTTTTGGGCTGTCATGTTGCCTCGTTCAAGCAGTATGCCCCATTGTTTGTTTCGAAGCAACAAATCCATCAAGACATCACTTTCCGTAGCACTAATTCGAAGAACCGACATTTTCTATGTAATATTGTGCAAACCAAATGCACAAACCATTGACACACCACCATTTTAAACAAATTCATTAAAAAAATCATATCATAACACAAAAATCAATTGCAATAGAATTCCATTCATATTGTAGAAAAAGCTTATCACAATATCTAACATATATATCCATTCCTATAAATGCCTTTGTTGTGAAAGGCTTAGGAGGTTGGGTTCCCCTCAAAGTGAATCAATAGAATTTTCCAACCTCTCAAATCGACCAATCAATTGGAGATTAAAGTGAACTCAAGGGGATCAAAGTGTAAATTAATTCAGTTTTGATAATGCCAAAATAAAGATGAAGTCTATATCAACTCTGAAAAAGTTGGAATGGTGATCAAATTCTTCTAGATGAAAAGATCAGTTCGGATGCATTTGTTCATTCGAACGCCATGATTGGCAACAAATTCACCGAGTTGACTTATTGAAGCATTGGAAATTCCGAAGATGTGAACACCATTCAAACACATCTTGGTCATTCGAATGCAAGATGACCTTGAGGAAATAAGAAGAATTCTAGAGAGTTAATGTCGTTTAGAGGCGTATGAGCAGTTTGAACGCTCCTTTGTCGATACAGACTCTTGCCATTTGAATGTTCCTTCTTTGTTTGAATGACATTATAAAGTTGCGAATTCTAGTGGATTATAAACGTTCAAACATAGTTGCTCCATTTAAACAGTCATTGATTATGCATTTTCACTGTTTGAACGTGTTAGTACCGTTCAAATGCTTGTGTTAGGCTCTGCTCTGTTTGGATGGTGAATCACCGTTCGAACGTGCCTCCTTATATCTGTTAGAGCTGTTTAGCCCTAGTAGGTCTTTAATTGTAAAAATAATCAAAAAATTCCTTAAAAATTCCCTACATATAAATAGAGGGGATGACAATCTTAGGGGGGGGGGATCTCTTCTTGAGTTTATTTTGTAAGTTTATTGTGAAGAACACTCAAGGCCTGTGAGTAATTCTCTTTTTCCTCTCTAGTCATGGTAAGGTTTTTAGGATTGTGTAATGAATATCTTATTCATGCAATTATTTGTTCATGGTTCTTGAAAATTGTTCTTTCTTTTTATTATTATAATTTAACATCTACACTTAGGTGCACCATTTCGGAGTCAAGTATTGGCCACTAATTGATCAAAATTTGAGTTCATGGCGACAAATAACTCACGCATTCCCTTCAATTTCCTTTCTTGTCTAACAATTAGTGAGTGAACTTTCACTTCAAGACAACCAACTTGATCCTCCATGTCCGACTGTGATGCTAATTGTTTTATGCACTTTTTGAAAAATATGAAAAAAAAATGAAGAATATAAGTGATGGGAAGAAAACCCATTTCGTACACCAATTTTGCTCATTTCACCTATTTTACCGGTCAAATCAACCAAACACTAAAAATTCAGACTAAAACATAATGCGATGGGAAAATTCATCTAATAACTCAGAAATAATGCAATTCGTCATAAATAACCGATAAAGAAATGATACTTTTGATGATGAATCATACCCCTCAACCTACATCTTATTAGTCCCTAGAAAGATCACTTTCGTAGTCTAATAAAAAAAATTCACTTTTGTAGGACTCATGATTGTATTTAGCATATGCAATAAACCTTTAAATCCCTAGGTTTCTCCTAGTGGATGAGTTTATTCTTATGAAGGTTTCCAGTGAAGATACCTACAAAAATTTCCCTTAATTTGCCCAGAGCTTTGAACTCATTATATGACTTAACCAACAATCAAACAAATAAATCGAATAAAAACATGAACCAATGCATATGAAGTCAGTTAAAAACATGAACCAATGCATACGAAGTCAGATTATAGAATTAAAGGCTACACAATAATATTCATCGGCCGAATTTCCATTGAAACTAGTCTGTAGTGTGTAAACGACCTTGAATAATCAGAGAATCAGTCAAAAATACCTCACCTCTTGACTATCCACTACTAGTTTTGAATCAAATCTCACTCAAGTTTTTCTCTCAGCAATGAATTCACTCTGATTATATTGGTTGTTTTTCCTTCATCATTCCATATGTGAGTAGAGTTATTATAAGATCAAAAAAAAATTCATCTCACATACACTTGTAAACAATGAACACTATAACAAAAGAAAGGAATTAACATAGTCTCATGATCGGAAATCAACCATTGATATACAAAACAACCACTATCCTGCTCCTTATTCACACAAGTAATGTATCTACCAATAACTCTTGAGATCAAATAGGACTTATCAAGGTTATAAGAGCATCTTCAAACATGACTCAAACTTAGACTCAAATTTGAGTCAAAATTTGAGTAAAAAGCTTGATTTGGTATAGAGTACTCCAATGGAAAAACTCAAATATCTACTCAAATTTTTTAAAATAATCCTTTATTGTCCAAAAACTCATTTTTTTTGTGTCATTCAAACCATGATATTTGATAAAATAAATTAAACTTTCACATCTCTCCACAAATGGGTAATTCAAGAAAAATGAATATGTATAAAATACTACATGGGAATAAAGAAACCACCCCAAAATTCTAATATTGATCTAATTGATTATCATTTTTTATAAATTCAAATAAAGAAAAATAAAAAGAAAAAAATAACTATTTTAACATGGGCCTGGTCTGAAGAACATAAAAACGTAAGTTTTTAACAAAAATGGAAGATTGAAGAAATAAAATAATTAATCTTCTAAATTTGTGGATAGTAAAGGCTTAAAATTTTAGGAAGAATCTGTGGCTTGAAATTGTACTAACAATAGTGGTTAACTCAAAAAAATCAAAGAAAAATTTAATGGGTAGGCTTAGGGTTTACATATTATGAAAGATTTGTGAGATTAAGGTTTTGAAAATTAAAAGAAATCAAGAAGATGGAAAATGAAAAGGAAAAAGCTTACCGACATGCCTTCAAATGATTTGTAAATGTTTCGGTGGCGGTCGGCGAAGCAGCGTAATAGAGAGAGGCAAGAAGAGGCATAGAAAAAATTGTTGAAGAAGTCTTTTAGTTTTGGATAGGTTAAAAAGTTAGCGTTAATTTGAGTCTACTTCAATTTGGGTCCAGAATAAGTTTTGTCGTGATTTGGTATAGGTTTGAGTCCAAGGTTGGAGAAATTTTTTAGGTCATTTTGACTCAAATTTAAATTTGAGTCTACATTTGAGTGAAGGTTGGAGATACTCTAATGTGGCCTTGGGTATTGGGGGTTTTAAAAGAAAAGAGACTAAGAATTCAAAATTTACCCCAAGAGAACTTTACATTCCAATATTTCTTGACATATATTTTCACATCAATTCTTAAGCATGATTTTCAACACTTGCTCATGTATTCTTTTCCACTGTTCTTTGTGCTTTCTTTTCAGTTTTTTTTTCTTTTTTTTTTCTAGCATATACATATTTTTCTCTTCTTTTAGCAATTCGAACAAATACTAATTTCACAAGTGTACACAAATTCACCTTTTCTTCTCAATGTCTCAACCACACATTCCATTATACATTAATTCCATCAACTCAATATCAAGATAACTAAAGGTAAAGAATATTCTATCACATTATAGGCTTAGTTGTTATATGTGGTTCAACAATCGAACTTCAAAATCAAAAAGCCTTTCACAGCTGCTAAGGATAATAAAATTTCAAAAAACAAGGCTAAGGCTCATTATCTCAAACATGACCTTAAATCATATCTCAAGAGTTTGCAGAACACACGCTCTATGTACACATGCAAAATCAAACAGTCATTCACAATATCAATATCAATCAAAACAAATAAAATGAGCCTATTCAAAGACAATTGTTGAATGAAATCATTTTTATTGAGTAATTGTAAATGTCACTCCAAGAATGAATGGCTCTAAAATTACAAGGAACATTATATTATTCTCCACTATATGTATCAAGTTTCAATGTGAGAATATCTTGTCCTAACCTCTAATCCAAGCATGGTCATATATGCATTGATATCATTAAGTTTCAATGGAGCTAATCTATGATACTGAAGCATAGTCTAAAATTCTATAATAGACTAAAACATAAATAAGTTCATGTTTCCATTATGTATCATCTACCCAATAATCAATTTCATCATATGCACATAACTCAAAACAATTGGCAGATGAAGACAAAAAATTTTGCAATGAAATCATAATATATATAAGAAAAATTTTGCAAGACTCAACTAATTACGACTAAAGCTTTGACAACTAACTCGATCCTAACTCAACTCGATAAAATAAAAGAAAATTCTTAAAATAGAACAAACTTCAAGGTCCCCAATCCAAGTCTACCATGAAGGACTGAGACGGTCCAAGGGTGCGCGGTCAAGGCGATCAAGAATGGATCCGTGCCTAGCAAGCTCTCTTTTGGTCTAGTCCAGATTGTCCACAATCTGGAGTGGAAGATCTCTCAATATGAGTATCCACGTGATCTCCCAGCAATGCATCGGTGTCATCACTTTCCTCCCCCTCCTCATCGATAGCAGGCTCAACACCTCTATCACTAGCACTCCAACTTTTCATCAAAGTAGTGTTGTCCAAAATTTTCGGGTGCTTCTCCTTGAGCGTCCCAATCTCCACAACTATCCCTGCTCCCATATAAATTTGGGTGACCAAATAACCAAATGGAAGAGATGCATTCTTAGTAGTCTCTTGTAATGCCCTCTGCATCTCAACCATGATTATAGAAGGAAAACACATGGCCTGACCTGTCCCCAAAACATATAACAACTTTGCCCTCTCAGGGTAT